AATTTTGTAATTCTTTACTGTGGAATAGCTCAGAATATCAGTTCTGTTTTAGGTAACAGAATTGATAACTGAACAAGGAAACGTAATTTGGATTATAAAATTCTTGCTTTAATAAAAATTCCTTAAACCGTGCTGAGGACTTGTGTTTTCAGTTTTTCATTCTAGACATTTGATAGGTGATACTTAGTGGTGCTGAGCTGGACTTAGCTGGCATTAAGCATCTCTTATGAAAAACAAAACAGAACCCCAAAACCAAACCAAACCATGTAAATTTCAAAAGACAACTTGGTCTTAAATTTTTTGTTGGTGTACTGTTGTCGGGCACAAGAGGACATTACCAATCCTCCTCCTCAAGTGGAACATCTGGTGGATTCAAACAGCATAGTGGTTGTGATTGCAGCACAGCTTGCCACTAGGCCACCAGAGCACATGCAAGTGCTCCCTCCCTTTCCCTCCTCTCTCCCTCCCTCTGCTCCCTCCCTCTTAAATTTTCTATTTCCACATACAATTCTTGAGTTATATTTATTAAATTACACCCTTTCCTGTGCAAAACATCCTTTGAAATATACCAAGATTCTGAACTTGGTGTCAGTGAAACTTCTACTGAAGATGATTAGCATCAACAAACCCCGTTCAAAGCAGCTATTCAGTTCATTGAGAGGTGTATTAGTATTTAGTCTCTGCCATTTCACTAAATGTCTAAACGGATTCGTTAATTTTTAAGATTCTTCTCTATTGGTTTTGTACAGTCACTCTTCTGCATTGTGTTATCACCATCTATGCACACTATTACGCTGTCTTTTCAGGTACCCACTGGCTCTTTCTTTCAGCCTTCCTGCCCCCTAACTCTCTGAACTTTTATATACAATTTTGCTATTTAATCTTTTATAACAAAGATCTTAAGTAGCATTTTTCCTTTTGAGACTTAAGGTAGCTCAGCATAATGCTCTGGCATAATGCTTTCCTGTGTTTTCTAGTGTTTTTCAAAAGTTTTGCTTCTGAATTTACCCCAATTTCTCAATCCATTCTTTGTTGATGGGTATTTGGGGCTGTTTCCATTTTTTTTGCTATTATGAATAATGTTGCCATCAACATGAGTGCATAAAGCTCCTATTCTGGTTGGTTTCTATGGTGTATATTCCTAGCAGTGGAATAGCAGGGTCATACCATGTTCAGCTTTTTGAGGAAACGCCAAACTGCCAGTGATGGTCAGAGCATAAACAAGGACCTTGGACGTGCATTAAGCAAATATGCCAGGAAGTTGAAAATGGTTTCTGAGAAAATCCAGATTTGGCTTCTATTGCTGTTACTTGTACTTTGGTAGACGCATTTCTGTTGACCATATGATCGAACCTACACTCTTAAAAAATAATTTTGTGTGTGTGTGTGTGTACCGTCAAATCAGATCTGACTGGTACTGGAGGAGATTGTCCCTCCTTCCCCGGCAAAGCGTCTGGTGGTTCCGAACCTTGTGCCTCTGGGATTACAGTGCAGCTTCTTGCCATTAGGCCACCAGAGCTCCTGGAATCTACACCCTTGAGCCTGATGTATTAATGTTGGCTCTTCGGTGCCTAAGCTTATGTCACTGTCAGATAGTCTCTGAAAGATATAGGATGCTTCTTGCCTACACTGTTTTTTACTTGATGAACTATAGTGTATAGAGAATTGCACTGCAAATCCAAAGGCAGGGGTTTGAGTCCATTGGCTATTAGAGAAAGATGAACACAGTCCTGCAGTTTGTTGGTACCATTGAGTCTTTAGCGAGTTAACAGCCTCCCTATGCGTTTTGTTATTCACTCAGTCTATTTTGAGTATCTTAAGCTCTTGTGCTGATCCTCAACCTTGCCAGGTATGAAGTCTTCCAAAAAAGACTGGTGCCTCCTAACATGCCCAAGTTAGGTGAGATTCACCATTGCCTCTGAGAACATATGGCTGCACTTTATCTAAGACATTTCTGTTAGCAGTCCACGAGATGTTCAGTCAATTTCTACAACACCACTGCTCAGACATAATCCTGTCATCCTTATTGTCACAACTTCGAGACACATAGGGAATTGTGAATAGGAAGTTTCTGAAAACCTGCTTGATTGAGTCTGAACAGAAGAGCCCAGTTCTAAAGAAATTTTTGAATTTATTTTTGAGTAGTTAGGAAGACAGCTGAACATTTCTCATTTTGTAAGAGATCGTTTTTAAGTTTGTTTCAAAACAGTCATTAGCTTGAGAGCATTTATGTGTATCTGTTTCTACACAAAGAACAGTGCAGGCATACCCAGTATTTCCCTTTGCAGGTAGATACTGCATTGTTAGCAAATTGATGGTAAGCCTGGACCATTTTGTTGCAGAAACCAGTGTCTCTTGTGGACTTTGGTATTTCTCTCAATACTTTGATAGTATTACTACATTGTCTCTTGTGGACTTTGGTATTTCTCTCAATACTTTGATAGTATTACTACATGCTATTTCATAAACATGTCCAATAGAAAGCCAAACAACTTTGTGAGTTGGTTTATTGGACTATTTTGTCTAGAACTGAATCTGATAATTTCTATAGGTATTCTTGTCTTGCAAATAGAATTTGGAAGACATTAATTGGCTTTCATGTGGCAGTTGTAATTCAGTGTTTCATGGATGATATGAAGATAGAGCCAGCCACCAGATCTTGAGTGGAAAAGCTTGATTGAAAATGGCCTTTCTTGGCCCAGAATCATTCCTTTTGTTTGCACACTAAGTTGCATAAGTAATAGATAAAATGTTTTGACACAAGCTCATGGTTCCACTTTGATGATGCATTGGTTAAACTCTGGGCTGCTAATTGAAATTGTGTGATTTGAATCTACTGGTGGATCCATGGGAGAAAATACCTGGAGAAGTTTCCCCTAAAGATTAGAGCCTAGGAAATTTCATGGGGCAGTTCTGCTTTATACAGTGGTAATGAGTTGGAATCAACACCCTGACACGTAAGTAACTAGAACATAACAATACCTGCTTTTTTCAGGTTATTCTCTGTAGTTTTTATGAAAGCAAAGTTAAAATAAGAAAAGTGGTTCAGATTGGAAGCAAAATGGATAATTTAGCAATACAGTCCAGCCCTTACCATCTGAGGGAGACATTTCTGCTAGGAGGTAATGCCTATGAAGAAAGGCTCACTGCGTTTTCGCCTATTTTCTAGGCTTCATGTTCCTCTGCAGTTAGAAGTCTAATTAGTTAAATTGAAGAGTTCTCAGTCATTAGTTTTTGAGTCACAGTCAAATTTGGGGTGATGGATTGTTTATCCTTTTGCCAATCACAACATGGCAAGTATGGAAAAGCTTTATGACCAACGAAACCAACGCCCCCTGCCATGCTGCTGACAGGACTCAGCTATGTTACAGGATGGGACAGAACCACCTCAAGGTGCAAATTGTCCTACCTTGCTCCCATGGAAAAGCTAATAGATTTACACGATCAACATTATGGTCAGCAACCATGCTTTTTAAAAAAGTAATGTACTTCCTTTGTTGGTAACAATATCTCTAAAAAGACTTAACACGTTGGGTACCTTCCAGTCAGAACTCATTGGCAGCTGACCCGCCAGTGAAGTTTCAGAGGCAGTAAATTGCTTGAAAGGAGATTGCTCCAGCAGAGCAGCTGTTGGTTTTAAACTGCATGCCTTTGGTTTTGCAACACAACATCTTACCACTAAAGTCTTGCACTTACAGGCCTGGGGGACTCCCTAAGACAAAAGGAATTCATTTCATTTCACATACTTTGCTCTAGACATTTGCTCTAAACATTGCTCTAGAGGAAAAGCTCTTACATGTTATGTGCCATCAAGTGGGTTT